CACATATGTGCTAGCAGTTCGAAAGCACGTAAAAATGCAAGTAGAAAAATAGGAACCACCTTAGGTGGGAAGGTAACAGCGTTCCGTGTGCCTTTAGCATTTAGTCATGCTGGCTACATGACCACAGAGACATCTTTGGACAGTGCTAGCTCTTCAGCTTTGAAACAGAGATGAGCACCGCCCCCTAGAGTCAGGAACGACTAGCATGTAGGTGTGAGGGGAACCTTTACCTTTAAACCTAATATCTTAATGAACTAAAGTCAATTGGCTTTCAACCCTAAAGAGCTAGACAGTATGATCCAAATTTAGGGCAAGTCAGTTTTGGAAAAAAGGGCTACAATTTTATAATTTAATTATAATTAAATAAAAGCTCAGCTGACACTTAATGTTCAGAAATGGAAGCCAAATGTGTTCATACCTCAGGGGGATCCAATGTGGGAGCCCATGTATTGGAAACTGAATCTCAAATTCATCTCTTAAATAAATTTAGTACTTCTGAAATTGTTGGTCTGATGTCATGAAGCAGAATGTAACTATGTTTGTTTGCACTGATATACATGTATCACTAATTGGGACTACCAACATGGTTGCTAAGCAATGAATAACTGTGACTTATGATTTTACTTCTACCTTCTGAATTCTGCTTGGCAGAAGCCAATTAAGAAGCACACAAATGATAATAACTTGACTACAATATGTTGCACCAGTTGTAAATATACACCAGTTGCAAAGCACCAAATGCTATGATGGTCAAAAATGCAAGAATTGATTGCAAAGCCATTTTTGGCACCATTATAACTTTGAATGGTCACTAAACAAGGCAACCAGTAAGTAAGGACTACCTGTATTTCTTTCAAGATAGATATATCACAGACCTACGTTACGAATCCATGCTTTCCAGTTATTCTGGGACTGAAGTCTATGTCATCCACCATCAAAACACACCAGGACACCAGGTTGGGAAGAATATCTTAGCCAGAGCTCAATTTCCCTCATCAGTTATACCTGATGAGGTAAAAATACCTCATTTTTAAAGAGACAGAAGTGATAAGCTACTGCTGTCCTCTCTTACCTGTCTAGTAAGAAAAGTCATGGAGGAACGATTGACCCATGCGTAATTTCCAGCTGCTGCCATCCCTTTCAAATAATCTTGGCCCTCCTGAGAATCTATCCTGGCACATGCCAACTGGCGGTCATTCACTATGATCTTGTCCCGTTTCATTGCTTTTTCCATAGCTACTAAGGCATCTGTAAAAATAGGACCAAATAAATTCAGAAATAGTGATATGAACCAGCAGGCCTAGAACTTAAAATATAGTTTAGATACCATACATTTAAATTAATTGCATAAAGGGGGTATATTTTTTCCACATACAGATTGTGATGTAGAAACTAGCTCTAATATTACGTTGGATAGTCACATTTAATTCCTAAAACAAAGAAGGGCATAAGCCACATACCTGTAGCTACTTGGTGGCCAAGGCCTCTGCTCCCACTGTGGATCATCACACATATTTGTCCCTTATGGTCTATACCCATCTTTCGGGCAGCATATTCATTATAAATGTCATCCACAACCTGTATCTCAGCATAGTGGTTTCCTGCTCCCAAAGTCCCCAGCTGTTAAACAGAATAGGAAAACTTAGCTGTTCCCAATATGAAAAATGAAAGACTGTGATTTTTACTAGAAACTCTGGAAAATTAATGCAATCTTACATCCATTCATCTTATTAATGGACATTAAGGAAATTACTTTCACATTTCATACGTTAAGGGAAAAGCTTCTCTTCATTTTCTGAACTGTTAAGCTCTTTTTAAAATGTACATTTCCTAAAGAGCATTAGACTAAAATCAAAACATTAGATCCGATGTAAATAAATACTGAATCACCAAATCAAACAAAAATAAAAGGCAACATTTAAGGTTAATCAATCAAAAGGTGAAATTTCATTACAAAAAAGTGAAGTACTCCTTAATCAATGCAAGAGCCAGAGTGGTGCTATAGTTACAGATGCTGGACTCGGGCTGCAGACAGCCAGGTCTAACTCCACCCTCAGCCATGGACACACTGAGTGAGTCATCAGAGCATGACACATGGAAACCAAAAGTGGATGGGTAACCTTTTGAACCATGACATCAGCTAATCAAATCTCTGGATATTGTTCTGGTTTGCTTTAATATTATTAAAATCAACCTGATTGCATTAAAATTAAATCAGCATGAAATGATCACCCAAAATTATATCTACATATCTGATTACCTGAGGTAAACCCCTTTTCTTAGCTCTTGCCGACACTTTATTTGGATCTGCCTGCAACATCCTCCCATATTCTTCACAATGCTCTTTATCCTCCGCCCAGGCATAGCCTTCTCGTAAGGACCAGTCTACCCCCATCTCTAAAGCTTCCTCCAAGTCCCTGGGGATGAAAGACATTCCAATTAGGAGACCACAAACAAATACAGAATGAATGTTACCATAGACTCACTCCTACATCTTCATTCACAATTATCACATTACTCAGAGTATAAACACTCTCCAGGTTCCACTGTGTTGTCAAATGTTGTCATCTAGTGAGAAGTAGAAAGCATCCCTTTTCCATGGAAAGCCATGCCCTGTGGAACAACCTTTCCATTGGGATCTGGAAGGTCCCCCCAACTTTTAGCTTTCACGAAAGTTGAAAAGGGCTACACATTTTCTCTCAGATTCTGGGATAGGGTAAAGTTTATTGCTTGTGGTTTCCTTTTTATTTTTATATGGATATTTTAATGACAATTCATTAGCAAACTTTGAAATTGGAACACAGACCTTTATGTAAAATACTCTTTCAAATAAGTGAGGCTCATTTTCCTTTTCTTCTATGAATAAAATAGTAACTAAATCCAGAGTTATTGTTATCACACTGCAAAACAAAAACCCCACAACCTAGATAAGTTAGAAAGTTTCCTTTCTCCTCACCTTACAGGGGCGAAAGAACTGCAAATATGCAGCAAATATTCAAAGATTTGGCAAGCATAGGACGGGTTCTAGAGAAGATAATGAACTTTGAGGAAGAACAACAGGGATGTGTCAATTTAAACATGATGGCATGCTTTGGTGGCACTAGACTGGACTGTTCTAATTGGTCCCAGTCCCAGTCTATAATTTTTAAAAAAGTTCCCCTGATGTCTTCCTATGTCAGGCCTGCCCCAACTGAGATATTTAGGTAAGAAAGACCCTTGACTCCATTTGGTTAAAGTGATAGGTTCTTATGCTAAAGTTAAGTGGTTGCAGTGAAAGTAAGGCTAGATCTGAATATTCCCTTACAAAGGTTACACTTTTTCCCTTTGCATGGCCGTCCCCACTTTGATTGCCAGTGTGCAATAGCATGCTTGGTTGTTTGGCACTATTTGATGCAGTTTTACATTCTGTTACCAAGCCAAGTGTCCTTAGCGGCTGGTTTCCTTTGGCTTGGTACCTCTGGTTTCTATCAAGGCCCCCTCCCCCCATTTTGTCTTCACATTCCCATGTCCTTCCTCTCCCCCCACTCCCTTCCTTGCATTTTATGATAGGATACCAGCAAAGTGTAGAAGCTGAAGATGGCAGACCTGGATGCCCTCCAGTTGCATAAACATAATTCCCAGGTAAAATGGAAATAAAAGTCCTTTAGATATATGATGACTAACCTTAGCAAAGCTTTCAAACAGCTATGTAGCAATAACTGCAAAATATTCTGGCATTTTTTAATGTTTGTTACAGATTTGCAGTGCATGTGATAAGTTATATTTTGAGTTCCTTCTGTCACCTTTCCCTTCAAAAATGAAGCAATGATACTGACATTCAAGAAAATAAAATAAAAAATTACTCTTACCTGGCATTCATGGGGATGACACCCTTGGATCCCACTCCTACAGGAATGTGGTCAAACATGGATTGTGCAAGCTGCTCCTTCACTGGCTGGACATCACATTCATCAAGGTTGGTCCGCAGTAATCGAACACCACAGTTAATGTCAAACCCTACACCTCCTGTGTGAGTAACCAGAACATATCTTTTAAAACTTAGCTCAAGTCATTTTGT